AGATCTCACTTTCTTGGGCTCCACGATCACTGCAGATGGTGACAGCAGCCACGAAATTAAAAGACGCCTGCTTCTTGGGCGGAAAGCAATGACAAACCTAGACAGCATCTTAAAAAGCAGAGACATCACCTTGCTGACAAAAGTCAGAATAGTCAAAGCTATGGTTTTTCCAGTAGCGATATATAGAAGTGAGAACTGGACCATAAAGAAGGCTGACCCCCGAAGAATTGATGCTTTTGAACTGTGGTGCTGGAGGAGACTCTTGAGAGTCCCCTGGACTGCAAAGAACAAACCTATCCATTTTGAAGGAAATCGACCCTGAGTGCTCACTGGAAGGACAGATCCTGAAGCTGAGGCTCCAATACTTTGGCCATCTCATGAGAAGAGAAGACTCTCTGGAAAGGACCCTAATGTTGGGAAAGGGTGAGGACAAGAGGAGAAGGGGATGACATAGGATGAGATGGTTGGACAGAGTCATCGAAGTGACCATCAGTTTTACCCAACTCCAGGAGGCAATGATAGACAGGAGGGCCTGGCGTGCTCTGGTCCATGGGGTCACAAAGAGTCGGATATGACTTAATGACTAAACAGCAACAACCATATTTGAGGCACAGATTTAGTACATATGAAGATTAGCTAGGGCACCCAACTATCCTTTAATCTCCATTGCATGATCTTTTGTTTCTGTCTTTTAGTTTGTGAAAGTGTTGTTTTGAGAGATGTTTCCGGATAGCAGAATGTGCTTCTTGGAATAAACAAACTTGGAACAGATTGTAAGAAAATCTGACATGAAAGTGTACTTAATAAGATATCAATTTAATTCTAGGATATCAATGAGAGGGAAATGTCTTCAACTCCAAAACCCTCTACGCATTTTATTGACAGACAGACAGCTGTGTTGAAAAAAAGTACGTTGTAATACTTGATTTTTTGGTTTGTGTTTCTAAAAGCATGTACTATATAGCCATTTGTCACTAAGATTTTTTATGCCCTAGCTGATCTTACCCCTCTACCCAAACTTCCTTTTTTCCACCTATGTTTTGGATGTCTTTTAGTAGAGAATGTTGACTTTCTTCCACTATACTGTATATATTCCTAGTGAAGTATGTTTTAACCAATAATATTGTAATATAGGGGTGGTGTGGAAATGTGTGGCCATTCCATTAAATGGAGAGAAAATTATTTTTTTCTTTGTACATTGTGAAGATTCTTATTGGACTAGACCCCTAAACATTTGTAACAAAAATTAAATGAACATTAAAACAAATACTCGTTAAACTATCTGTTTTGGATGGTTTATGCCTCCAAAGAGTTTGTTGGTACTAAATAAATTTCTGACAAACTGTTTACAGATCTTTCTTATTTATTGTCACACTTTGCAGCAAATATTGACCCAACAAGAAGGTACCTTTATCTTCAGGTTTTGGGTGGAAAGGCTTTTCTGGAACATCTGCAGGAACCTGAGCCTTTGCCTGGTCAAATATGTTCTACCTTCACTCTCTGTTTACATTTTCGAAATCAGCGTTTCCGTTCTAAGCCTGTCCCATGTGCATGTGAACCAGATTTCAGTGATGGCTTTCTTCTTGAAGTACATAAGGATACTTTAGGTAAGGAATCTGTATTACAGGAACAAATAACACTGGACTCCTTCCTATTCAGGAAGATTCAAGCATATGATCTATGTAGTCTCATTAAAGTACACCAACTTTTATTGTATTTAAACAAAAATATTATTGCTTTTCAAAGGGCAATATGAAGTCAGTCCTTAGCTGTGGCAAAGTCATAGCAGCAGTGTGAAAGGAAACACTGTGGTTTTTTTTTGCCTGGCTTGGTAATAGAATAGTCCAGGAGAAGAGGCCTTGTTTAAAAGACAACCACAAATTCATTGCAGAGGGTTGGGGATGATTGACATTTCTAAGGAACAATGTATAGAGGACAGAGAATAAGAATGAGCACCTATTTACCCACTTGCAGAGGTTTGTAGCATAGCCCAAGGTTTTAAAAATATTTGGATGCAGTGGTTTGATGTGGAAGTGGATCAAAATGGAATAAGGAACTTAACATTTCCCCTCTGGCTGTTTTCCACTCAAAATCCCCGCCATCAATGCCCTTGCTTTATTTCATGAACATTATTTTCTCTTACTGGCTTGTATTTCTNTTTCCCCCCCCCCCCCAGCCCGATTCAAATGACACAAATGACATGGTAATATCTCTTCATGAAGTGACCTGTTGTAAAAACTTTCTATAATTTTTGAGCCAATTTCTACAGATGCATAATGGTAATATTTTTGGGAAATGCTTTTATCTGGAGTTTCTACTTAACTTTAATTTCATGTGGTGTTGACAGGTGAAGGAAGCAAAATGCTGGATGCAACTACTATGCTGTCAATATGTGATCCAGTGCATATTGTCTTGATCAAAACAGACACATCTGGTGAAACCACATTAGTGGCATCCTATTTCTTAGAGTGGCGATCTGTCCTTTGTGCAGAGAACAGAGTAACAAATGTGGCTGTTGAACTTCTGGGCGTTGGTAAGTTTCAGACAGTGAGGGAGGGAAGATGGTGGGAAAAGTAAAATTTAGACATGGACACTTCGTATTTGTATCACTGGGGATACGAATAGAAAGCATGGCTCCACAGGTGCCATGGAGGTCCATTTGCTTCCCCCAGAACCAGCCAGTCCATTCATTGGTCACTGTATGGCATGTGTGTTCATCGTCGTCAGCATCACACCAATTATGGAAGTAGCCCAGCCGGTGCTTCCCCACCTCTCTGTACAGTTTATTGCTCAACAACTGAGCAGGGAGACTGTTCATCCAACCTCCACGCCAGAGTAGTCAGTTGGGTGGGGGGGACAGAGAAGCGCTAGCTGGGCTACTTCTGTGATTGGTGCAATGATGATGGACACATGTGCTATGTGGCGACCAGTAAGTGTACCAGCAGGCTCTGGGGGATGCAGTGGACCTTCAAGGCACCTGTGGTACCGCATTTCATATTCGTATCCCCAGGGATATGAATTCGAAGTGTCCATGTCTAATAAAAATTGAAAGTAGGTTTTTTAAAGAAGTACTTTGCTTGATTTCAGCAGTAAACTGTACTCATTCAAGAAGAAGCAGAATATCACCGTGGGAACACTGCTTTGTCTTTACCAGCAGGCCAGAAAAAAATTCTGGTTCCTTCTACAGCAGGGGTTGTCAACCCCCGGTCCGCGGCCTGCTGCCGGTCTGTGCCGCTCTCACGCGGGGGCATGCTGTGCTCGCATGGGGGCGTGTCGTGCTCACAATGGGTGTGCTGTGCTCACAAGTGGCATGTCACGCTCATGCGCACGAGTGCAACACACCTCCCGTGCAAGCATGACACATCCACCACTCGCATGGGAGCATGACACACCCACCCCCCTGCACATGGCGCTCACTCACTCCAGCGGGTCCACAGCCCCAAAAAGCTTGGGGACCACTGTTCTAGAGGATATTTCTGACATTGTATCTTGAAATAATGCTGCTTCCTCACCACTTAGAATTGACAGCAAAACGGCATAAAAATGTTTGTCGAAAATTTCTGAAGAATTACTGTCGAAATGCCTCAATGTCCCTTTAAAATAATTTTAAAGCAACTAGGAACTGTTACTTTTTGTGCCAAAAATAATTATATAACTACTCATTACATTGGTTTTTAAATAGGGACATAATGGCTGAATTCCTGTTTTGTAGTTATACAAATAGTGTAATGTTTGGAAGTGAACTGCCATAAGTTAAGACATTATTTTTTGCATACCTGGTAATTTTAGCTGGCATTCAACAAATAATGCCTACAAAAATTACTTCTGGCAGTTTGTGTCTAAAAGTTATGCTGTTTGCATAACTGAGCAACAGGTTTTTAGCCAGTTTTTACAAAATAGGTTATAAGTAACTATTACTTCTACTAGTTACTTCCAGGCTTTTACAACAGAATTCAATTTCAAAAACAAGACTTTTCACTTTATTTTTTCTCTGCCTGTTATATATACAGTGATGCTTCGCTTAACGAGCGCCTCATTTAACGACAAATCCGCATAGCGACGGATTTTTTGCGATCATTTTTGTGATTGCATAACGATGTTTCTAATGGTAAAAAATCGCTTTGCGATGATCGGCAAGCTGTTCCGCTTACCAGTTTTCGCATAACGATGTTTTAAAAACAGCTGATCGGCGGTTCCAAAATGGCAGCCGGAAAAAATGGCCGCCCGCTGTGTTTTCGCGCCATTTCCTCGCATACCGCTCAGTGAAAACGGTGGCTGTATGGAGGATTTTCGCTTTAAGGTGAGTTTTAAGCCCAACGGGGTTTAATGCATTCCTATGGGCTTTTTCTTTTCGCATAGCGATGAGTCCGGATAACGACGATTTTTCCGGAACGGATTATCATTGCTATGCGGGGCACCACTGTATAGTAAAACAATGTTTAGCATTTGGGGTTTCTCTCCCCCCGCTTCTCTCCCTTCTTTTTCTTTCATTATATTATAGTAGCCCATTTTGACGTAATGGCCAGAATTCAGTTAAGCGGATTCCACCTGCACAGCAGGAATGATGTAATCCCTGACAGCAGATTGCTGCCAGTTCAGGAGTTCCATTTTCAGGGCAGAATAAGAAAAAGGAAGTTTTTAATCAGCGGCAGTCTGCTGCTTATGACGTTGTGGTGCTGCACAACAGGATTTTAATTAATGCCGTTTCAATTCTGAAAAAGAGATATTACAACAAAGAATGTCTATTTCCTAGACTTGATTTAGTTGTAGGTAGTATGTATCCATATTGTATGTCTTTTTGTGCACCAGATTTATTAATATGTCTGCTTGTTTTCTTATCAAGCTATATCTTTTTGTCAAAAGGTACAGAATCAAAGGTGTCTGTTGGAGTACTTAATATCAAACTTGAAATATACCCAAAGCTGAATAAGACGCTTTCTCAGGAAATAGTCAGTACTCAAGTAAGTCCTACATATGCTTTTAAACAAGCTAACATTTTAAAATAGCCTTCATATTAATGCAATTTTGACTGATATAATGTTATTCCAAATCATTGAATATTTCTGTTGGCAAAATCCTGTTGTATAACTTTGCACTGGCATAAATCACATTGGGACATAGTAATTCATGCAATTTTTTTTAAGTTTCCTATCTCCCTTCTGGCTCAGCTTCTGAGCCTCCCTAGAGCTCCCGTATGCCCTGGAGAAGCTTTTGGCAGCCTTGGGATTGGGGGAGACTTAGGAATAGGAAGCTTTTGCCCTCCAGATATGGAGGGCTAAATCCATCTAATTTGGCAGTATCCTGACTTCCAGCACCCTGATCCAATTTATGCCAGTGCAGAGCTATACAATAGGGTTTTGCCCAATCTGTGTTGTTACAATCTTGTAAAAAAAATCTAGCAATATATTACAATCTCCTTCTTGACTAATCATGATTTATAGTGTCATGGTACAGTGACTGTGAAAAATGGAACAGGGAGGCACTGCTATGGTTCAAGCACACACTTGTTCAGTTTCAAGAGTTAAAATAGCAAAAATGTGTGTGTTTTAAACAAGGTAACATATTGATTATGTAAGATTAGGTAAGAGATTGATTTTTGTTCACATTTTCCCTACTAAAATGCCATCTTAATTTTCTGGGGGAGTTAATACCATGCTGTGGTACTGTGTATTAATTCCTTTTCACCATTGCTGTCTTAAGATGTGCTTGATACCATTGTTTAGATGAAAAGGTGAAAACTCAGCCCTTGTTGGTTACTGTTTTCTGTTCTGGAGAGATTCAGCTTGAATGTGATGTATAGCTTTCTGAGAAGGAAATGGGCTGAAATCCTGTTGCACTTGACAGAGCATAGAGTTACACCAGCAGAAGTTCATACGGAGTTATGCCCAGGCAATTCAAATTTTAGTCTTGATTGTGCACTTAGATGTACAATTGCACCTTCAGAACTGTTTGCTGGATTATGACTTCTGCCTTGCTGCAGATTTCACCACTGCTTGTGCAACTTCAGGTTATGCAAGCATATAGCTATGCAACAGGATTTTGGCAGTGTATGTTTTAGACTGATACTTGTATTTATTCTTTTGATATCTGAGATTGGCATAAGAAGGCAGTTTCCTTGAGCAATGAGCAGGCTCAAGGTTGACTCAGCCTTCTATCCTTCCGAGGTCGGTAAAATGAGTACCCAGCTCGCTGGGGGGGGGCAATGTGTAGCCTGCATAATTAAATTGTAAACCGCCCAGAGAGTGCTTGAAGCGCTATGGGGCGGTATATAAGCAGCACGCTTTGCTTTGCTTTTGCTTTGCATGTGTATACACACTTTGAGCAGTTTATATAAATGCATACATAGTTCTACATGCTGCTATTAAATTATTACAAACCTTTTTTATAGCCTATGGTTTCCTATATCAGCAAGCCCCATAAAGCACCGTTTTCTATCCTTTAGAAATATATTGTTGCCATCCACAAAGAGAGAACACCTTGTGTAGGTGGGATGGAGTGCTAACATTGCAGACTTCTTGTCTTCCCCTGTTGTGCCATGCTTTTGCCTAGAATCAGATCCTTTTTTGAGTTAAACCCAATGTTAAGTAACTGGAGTTCTGCTTAAAGGGTGGAAATTTTTCTTTTCCCTCCCACATGTCCTCCAAATCTGTTCTGGAGACTCTCCACAATCTTCCAGAGCAGAGAGGTTGGGTGAATGGGAAAGAGGGAACTAGATATGCCAGCAATGTCTGCTTATAAAACTAAAGTGTTGAACATATTCCTTCAGCTGCACTTTGCACGCATGGCAATCCTGCCCCTTTCCTGTGTTTATAAATATGAAAAGGTTTGCTGTGACTATAGACAAGTAGGGATGAACTGCTCTCCTATCCCCAATGTCATGTGGCTCCTTCCTTCTCTGTTGTCCATATATTAAGTGTAAATATTTGGAGGCCAAAAGTCTAAAGTGCCTAAATCTATGCAAAAATGAGGAGAAATCCATTCAGTGCTCCCTTGTTAATATTTATCCCCAAGGATGCATATATGGCATGCATCCTTTCACAGAAATATTGGAGAGGTTCTGAGCAACAAGACACCTACGCATATGCATACGTGGTGGAGAGTGTATCTCTTAAAATCTGTGATGACAAAGTTTTCAGGAATATAAGATAAATCCTATTGATTAGTTATGTGGGCAGAAATACAGTGGTGTAAATTGGAGCTGCTAGTTAGCAAGTTGCTACTTGTATTCTTTATAAGTAACATGAATTGGGATACAAAGGGATATATGTAACAACTCAAATAAATAGTACCAAACTGCTGCATAAAAGAAGTCAAAAAACCAAGTAGAGGTTTAAAGAGATAGAAAGTGATTTAGATAATTCTATCACACAGTGACAAAATTTAATCAGTTAGGTCGACAGAAAATACTCTACAACACAAATAACATTTGACAAAGCACTTCAGAAAGACGTTAGTAATAGAATTATGTCATGTTTATCTTAATTAAATCCCAGGTTCTGTATCTACACTGGAAACTAGATTAATTTATTTAGTAGATAATATATGATGTTAATTATCTGTTTTATTGATTACATTTGTAATTTTTAAAATGAGCAATATCTCACAATATAATATGTTTTTTTAATTGTAGCTTGCTTTAGAACGTCAGAAAACTACAGAAAAAGAACGTTTGTTTCTTGTTTATGCTAAACAGTGGTGGAGAGAATATCTACAGATCAGAACTTCACACAACACAAGACTGGTGAAAATTTTTGCACAGGTTATGTCCATTTGACATCTTCTGCCATTTTATTCTAGTTATAATTTGTGAACAGAAATCTACACAGTTCCAAATACATTGATTTTTTTTGTATGTCTCTATAAAATTAATTGGTTGGAACTGGAATGTTTTAATTAATATGCTTCCCTACTATTGTTGTTTAGCTTTATTTCTATATATTTGTCAGCTGTTTCTGTGCCTTCACACTAATTGCCTATGATCCATACAATAGGACCACTGTATCAATGGGATCAGTACCCACGGTTTCACTTATCTGCTGTCTGGTATTTTCTTTTAATTGTTTTTTTTAAAAATCCAGACACATTCCCAAGGTATATTACCAGGATTGGCAGCTAGATCGAACCAGAGACCATGCTATATACAGCCTTAATGGAAATGCACTCATGGCCCAATTTGCTGAGGAAAGCAGCTTCCAGTGAAATGGAGAAGCCACATATGTGGGGGTGGGGAGGGGGGCAGGCAGCAGTTGCTGGTTTCAAGAAAGCCTCTTTTGTGAGCAGGAGGACAGAAACATAGTCCTTTCCCAAGTCAGGGTTCCCTATCTCAACCATGCACAGACAGCAAAGATGCTATTTCTGGCATCTGCAGGTGAGGAGGCTTGGAACCTATCCCCTGTGAATACTGCAGGCCTATAGTTTAACTTTTACCTCACCTTTCTTCCTGTAGAGAGATTCAGTGTGACTTCATCATCATCATCATGTATTGTCAAGTCAATTCTGACTTGTGGCAACCCTTTTCAGGGTTTTCCAGGTACAGAATAGTCAGAAGTGGTTTACTGTTTTTTTCCCCTGGGGCATCCTGGGACTATGCAGCTTGCCCAAGGCCACATAGGCTGGCTCTACTTTCAGAAGGCACAGTGGGGAATCAAATTCCCAATCTATGGTTCTGCAGCCAGATATCTAAATCATTGAGCTATCCAGCCAGCCAGTGTGACTTAATATGACATAAAAATGCAAATATCAAAACAATTACCAATATTTAAAAAAAATCATACTGTGAACAAAATGGGATAACTTGGAGCTTCTCATTGCAAGGGAAGAGCTAGAATTAAATTTAATATTGGGATATTTCAGAAAAAGAAATACTTGGACATGAGCTCTATTGTGAGGGAGCCGACAGCTCTTGCATCATCTTTAAATAATTTTTTTTAGATATTCTGAATAAGAACATAATATTTCTAGTTGTTTTATCAACATAAGCTTGAAATGGAGCTGAGTAACATGTTGTGTAGTGGGCTTTGTCTGCCTCCTGAAAGGACAGGCCTGTGTCGTTTAACTTAAAAACTCAGTAAAATCTGATTCTGACCACAAATATTACTATTTTTCCAATTACTATAAAATTGCACACCTAAACAACATTGCTTTTTATAGAGACAAAAATTCAGAAAAGAGCAGCTACACCATGAGTGCAGACAATTGCTTCCTTAAGAGATGAAAAAGCATTGCTTTCTATTGAGCCTTACAACTATCTTTTCATATACATTTTCAGGATGAAAATGGGATAAACAGACCAGTATGTTCTTATGTCAAACCACTTCGAGCAGGCCGGCTGCTGGATACACCGAGGCAGGCTGCCAGATTTGTGAGTGTGCTTGGTTATGAAAGAGCTCCTGTCATTGGTGGAGGAAGCAGTAAGCAAGAACAATGGTGTACTCTTCTGGCCTTTCTGTGCAGAAACAAGGTATAAGCCTTTGGAGAAATTCCACTTTCTAAGTCTTTGGCTGAAATCCTGTTGCACTTCTATAAATTGCTGCATATTAAGGCAATGTCAGGGTGTACGCAGCTTATACAAAATGTGACAAAGTCATGTGTACACCAAAATTGCCTCTAGATGTCATTCAAATCACTTTGTTTTCTGTATGAACTCACATTATATATTTAATGTGTTCCCTTTTCAGGGTGACTGTGAAGATCATGCTAACCTTTTGTGCAGTCTTCTGCTAGGTTTTGGGTTGGAAGCTTTTGTTTGTGTAGGAACAAAAGGTAAAGGAGTTCCTCACACGTGGGTAATGACATATGGAATTGATGGAGTAACCACATTCTGGGAGAGTTTAACAGGCCACAGGTAGGTAAACAGATTGTAATGTAACATTATGGCAAATTCTAAGTGTTCAGAATTAAAATCAAGTCAAAGTGTAATGGCCAAAATCCTGTTCTTTGCATACACTAGCATAAGTACAGTGGCAAAAATCACAGCAGTGAATTTCTCCTAGATAAGGAGTTACACTGTGTAAGGCTGATGACAGCAGGATTTCAGCCAGTGTGTATGCATTTCATGTCATTAAGCTGTTTCTTATAAACTTGTAGTTATGATTAAGGAACAATAGTTTTTGCTTTATTTGAATGATATGTTAGTTTCCATTTAAATATTGCCCAGCTGTTAAGCAAGGTACCAACACTGTAAATATTGAAAATATAGCACCAATTAGTAATTTTTTTCTTAAAGGCAGTAGGGTAATTAGTATGTCTACAATCTCCTGCCATTACAGAGCCAAAGCACCATTTGTGAACAATACTGTCACAATTGCAAGGCTGACAATACTTAATTGAGTCCTTTTCCAAAATATGACCAGGAATAACTGAAGGCAGAGAATTAAGGCACTTCTGGGTATGAAAGCTGCATAGTTAAGAAAGCTGATAGAAAAAAATATATGATTTGTTTGAAATGTGCTGCAGGAGAGCTTTGTGGATACCCTGGACTGCCAGAAAGATGAGTAAATGGGTCCAAAGTTAAGTCTGAATGATCTCTGGGCTAAAAAAAATGTTGAAATTGAGGCTGTCCTACTTTGGGCACATCGTGAAAAAGTAGGATTCTCTGGAAAAGACAATAAAGCTGGGAAAGGTGGAAAGCAGAAAAAGAGGAAGATAAGATGGACTGGCTTCCTAAAGGAAGCCACAGGCTTGAGTTTACAAGAGCTGAACAGGGCAGTTGAGGACAGGTCATTTTAGAGATTTTCACATTCATAGGGCTGGTATAAGTCAGAGGTGATTTGACTACAGATAACAACAGTCTTTCTGACTCTATCTTGATAGTTCATTAAGAATAATTATCACAGTTGGACCTCGACAGTACATACAAAAACTGTCTGATAGGGTGAGTACACAGGCAATTGTCCCACTGTTTGGTCTGCTGTGGGGACAGGCTTGTTCATTCCTTTCACTGACAATGAAACAACTTACGGTAAGTGTCAGCACAAACCTGCCCATTGCCAGTGTGTTCCTACCCACTCTTTTTTGTTAAAGGCTACGGGGAGGTTGTTTGTTTTGGTCTGTCAGTAATTTTGTTCCATGTATGAACAGTGGGTATATGAGAAACAGTTATCTACAAACACATCACTACCCTGTTTCCCCAAAAATAAGACAGTTTCTTATATTAATTTTTGCTCCAAAAACACATTAGGGCTTATTTTCAAGGGATGCTTTATTTGTTTTTCATGTACAGCAATCTACATTGATTCAAATACAGTCCTGTCATCATCTTCTGGATGCTGCACAGTGGTGGAGGCCAGGGTTTTACTCAACTGGGTCTTATTTTTTGGGTAGGGCTTATATTACGAGCACCCTGAAAAATCATACTAGTGCTTATTTTCAGGTTAGGTCTTATTTTTAGGGAAACAGGGTATCAGTTGTTTCCCTTTTTATTTTATTATTGCATGTGAGTTGGTCAGTAATTGCTGCATCCCAAACTTCCCTATAGCCGTCACTTAACAGAATATAAGGAGCTGTTTTCAGTTTCTAGTAATAAGCAATCTCACTGTTGCAAACAAATTGGAAACTAATTCTCTGGTTGTCCAATTACCAATCTCCTTTTCAAATATTGATAAAAGGAGCTGTTTCTCAACAAAAACATCTGCTCTGTGATAGAAAATATGGTTGCTTGATAACCAATAGGCACATACAAGATTGAGTACAGAGTGTATATGTTCTGGCCTGATGTGATACTGCATTAAGAAGTGGGACACATGGATTCAGGTTTTGCTCTTGCATGTAGTTAGATTTATCTGTTAGGCTAACTGGCTTAGATTCCTGTTTCCAAGGGAGTGAAATATGTATTCCTCAGGCCCCCTCCCAACTTCTTAAATATAGCTATGTGCCTGGCAGTATTATAGTCTAGGTATGCCAGTTTCATCTGTACAAACTGAAAAGTAGACCAGAGTTTTTATTTGTGGGCTTTCAGTTTCAGCTAAAAAATAATTAATTTATTAATGCATATCTGTTAATCTACAGGTACATACATAATCAAGTTAAGCCTGATGACCCTCCAGTTGTTGAGCAACCAAAACCTTTGTATCCTTACCGAACAATAGGATGTATATTCAATCATCAGAAATTCTTGGCAAACTGTCAGCCTTCTGATGCTGTAGAAGTTTGTGCTTTTGACTTGCATGATGAATCCAAGTGGAAACCAATGAGCGGAGAAGCAGTTAAATCAGTATGTTCTCCAGGGGCCACAACTGCACTGCCACCTTTTCCTCCTCTCTGTGCCTCTGCAGTAGATGCTGCTGGAGCAAGCAATGAACTGGAGTTACAACTTAGAATATTAGTAGTGGAACACAGAAAGGTATGTGTTATTATTTGTTGTCCTGTAACTCAGTTGTTTATCTTATCAAATGCAGAGATCTGAAGAATGTATGTTAAAAGTTATTAGTAAAGCAAAGTTGCACAGTTAAATCTCAACATTATCTAGCTGAGACGGTTGAGGGCCAGCTGAGTTTTGCTGACTTTCGACCAGTTTAAGCACTGCTGAATCCAAACTTATTTTAGTGAAGGGTTTCAGAAATTACCTTGGCTTGGGTTTGTGTTGGCACTATGGCTTTTCATGGCCTGGAGGATGTTTCAAGCTGGTATTACTCAGATTCTCCCCTGTCTTCCCTTTTTGGCTTTTCAGTCCATAGGTTTTTGCTAACAGAGTAGTTGCTGCCAGATCCCTCTGCCAGCAGGTCTCTTGAGATCAGACAATAGAACAGGATTCTGCTGGTATAACGACACTTCTGCCAGCAGAACAAACCTCTTCCTCTTCTTGACTCCCAATATCTAGCATGTCTGGATTATGACTGTACTACTGATGAGCCACACAGATCCTTTATCTTTATCTGCATATGTACAAGTGCTATTCATTGTATTGTCCATCCATTTTATAATATATTATTAGTGATTCCTTCTTTCTTCCTCCACTTTTTTGAGAGGAAAGTGCTTTTTCCCTCCATTTTCTTTGCAAAAAGCTGCTTTCCACCTCGCAAAAAGTGGAGAGAGAAAGCAGCTTTTTGCAAAGAAAGTGGAGGGGGAAAGCAGTTTTTTTCAAAGAAATAAATTTTGTGTTAGAAAAGTGGGGGGCGTCTTATACATGAGGGTGTCTTATAAATGGAAAAATGTGGTACTCCTTGTTACGCATTCAATTTATTTTTAACACTTTTTACTTTGTGTAAAATTCAGTTGAGTTGGCATATATTACTTAAAGTCCGAACTCCAATCAAACTTTGATTGGAGTTCAAACTGAAAAGTAGACCAGTAAAATTCAAGCTTAAACTAAAGAGAGTAGGAAAAACCACTGGGCTAGTCAGCTATAATCTAAACCAAATCCCTTATGAATACACAGT